GAGTCTCCTAAAGTTCTCCCATTGAGAATATGGAGTTCATTATTGACAAGCATTTCTAGAAAGGGTCTTTTGTAATTGTTCGACTTTTTGTCCTTTGAGTTCCTGGTTGGAAGTTCTTGTGGGGTGTAGTCTTCTGGCAGGGGAATGAAGCTCTCGTAGCCACATTTGTCCTCTTTGATAAAGTCAATGTCATGGCCGATACGCGAGTTGAAGTCACCACAAGTAATGACATCACCTTTACTTAAAAGAACATTGAGAAATTGGTCCAGTTCACGGATGGTGTCAAAGCCCGAAATATTTGAGTTTTTAGAGGAAGTGTTAGCTGGCTTAATGTATGAGTTAACAATGAATATATCATTATCTACGCCAAAGTAATTTTTGTCAAGTTTACAGGCAACAACATCTTCAATTGTGGATTTTTCAAGTTTAACGCCTTTGGATATTTCGTTTTGGACCATTATGCATACGCCACCATGTTTTTTGTCCCGGCGGGTTTTATTGAAGGACCTGTAACCCGAGTGTTTGACAGGTTGTCTTATTTCTTGAAGGCAGACAATAGGAAACTTGTCAAAGACGGCACAAAATTGAGGGTCATCAAACTTAGAGCCAAAAGTTGTATTTGTTGATTGGATGTTCCAGCTTATAATTTTGGATTGTAAATTCATAGTATTTTTTCAAGAGGTTGGGTTGGTGGTCATGATTTGAAGACTAAAATTTAGACTGGAAGCTCAAACTCCCTGAAGATCTTGTCGAGGGTGTCTCTCATGGTGTTGGTGATTGCATGCATTCCTCTTTCTGATAGATGGAGATTATCGCGGAAGTACATCAAGTTCTGCTTAGAAGTGGACTGAGTGTTAATGAAGAACTTATCATTTCTCTGAAGGAAAATCCTTTTTGTTTTAGGGTCCTCGTCTTGCTGCTGATTGACCAATAAGGACAGGGATCTCCTCAAGGAAAAGACGTGTCGGTTCTGGTAGGTGTTTCCGTTCAGTAGGGGGCAAGAGATGACCAGTCTGGTGGTGGGAGATACTAGTTCTAGCATTTCATTAAAGATCTTGAAGTTGTCGATGATTTTGGTAATGTCCTCTCCTTTGTGTATATCATTGATGCCGAGATGTACATATATTAGTTGAGGCTTCTCTGTTGGTATTTTGCTCCCCATCATGTATTCACCGGTCAGTGATTCACTACATGTAAAGTCAATTCTTTTGAAATTCAACCTATATTTCCTAAATTCCAAGCATGACTCATCAATGTGTCTCATAATTGAATCGGTAACAAGCCAAACGTTGATGGGTTGCCCACTTTCGACCAAGACTTTCAGGGAGGGCTTTATTGGATCGGGGAAACCAAATTTGGGCGAAGGCGAGGCTAGGTTCGGTTGGTCTCCTAACGCTGCTATTTCTTTTATCAAAGGGTCAGTTTGAATTGCGACCTCGCACATTTGGTGTGTTACATACGCGTGGATGTCTTTAATGTGCTCCCTTGTTTCATCGCAGAAGACACTATTGTAGTAGCTCCCCATGTCTTCCACCGATTTCTTCATGATATCTACTCCATTTTGACTAAGGTCGTTCAGAATCTTCCTCATTGACTGAAGGTCATCTTTTGTGCCGTTTATGTTCTCCACAAGGTCATCAATTTTACCATTGCACTCCTTTATCGTTTGTGTAAAAACATTTGTCTTGCTCAGATTGTCGATTCTGTTGTTGCAATCACTGACTGCACTTTTCAAATCACTTATCGCATCCAAAACATCGGTGTTGCTGGTTGGGTGAGGCGAGATTTCTTTTTGAGTTTGTTGTTTGGTCGCTTCCTGGAGAGTTGCTACATTCGCCTTGACAGATACGATGGAATCCACAACATGCTTTAGAGAGTTCTCCACACATTTTTGAGCATTACGCACTGATGCAATGTCATCTTTCATTTCCACGTCTTCGATCCTCGGGGAGTCACATCGTGAGAAGTTCATGCCGTGAGACATCGAGTTATTGGCTGCTGACATGGAGAGTTCCCCGATTGACATGCACATTTTGTTCTGAAGTCTTGTCCGCTTTTCAGATAAAGATCCTGCAGTTGAGACTTGACTTCTTATGAGCTCCTTATCTACCGTTCCCTCATCCATCTTCCCTACAACTGCACTGATCGTTGATGCAAGCAGGAGTCCTCCATCTGCTTCATAATCCAGGTTGTCTGCTACAGACGTTACTCGAACAACAGTGGGGGGAGTCTTAAGGAGGGGGAAGTTCATTTCTTCAGCCTGTTCCGTGGTGATGTCTGACTGAGGGTTCTTCTGCGGACCTTTGAGGGCGCTGTCAGTTTCTGTTGGACATTTCTGTTCAAATATCAGGAAGTACTGTTCTTCTACTTTTTCCCAACCTCTAGGTATCGAGCGTTTGTATCTCAACTCTGTCTTGCCACTGAGTACGCACAACGTGCCAGACATAAGGGCCGCTTTGTGGGTTACTTGACTCCCAGCTTGGGTCTTGATGTACATGGGGCGTGGATCCTTCAGACCAAGTGCCAACACTGCAACTACTGGAGAGAAATTGCTGTTTTCCTGGCTAGTGTTGCCGTATGGAATACTGTGTGAGGGGTCACTCATCCGATAAATAGTGGTCTTGTCAAACTTAACATCCAACTGAAAAACGTCCTCAACCGTTTTGTTGATACGATCCTGGTGGCATTTGACAAAAGAGCAAAGTTCAGACGGTTCGTCCAGGTTTACGGATAGTTCAGACATTTTAGGGGTTGCGGTCTTCTTAAGCTTCTTTGCCCCCTTTTTTAGATCAACATCTGTCAGTTTGGTCTCCACACCATGTTTGAGGACGATTTTGTACCTATCTTTGTTGCTTGGTGTGCAGAGTTTCCCAACAGTAGCAGTGAGTTCTGCACAAAGGTTAGCATTGCTCTCAGTACTGATGTAGTCGCTTATGTAACCAAGCTTGCAGGACTTCCCTTTGTCAAGAAATATCTCACCGTCATCTCTGATCCACACTGTGCTCCGCCTGTTTGTATCACTCTTTGTCTTTGAACCTGAAAGACTTGACTCAGATCCAGCATCATCACTTGTTTCAGTGTTACCCCAGCTCACGTTACTTAGACGTCTGTTGAGCTTCTTGGCGGGAGTTTCCTGGCAAGATGATAGCACATTGTTGGTCGGCTTCAGGAGACCTTCAGTGGCACTTACTTCAGTAATATCAGTGTCGTTATCCTCTGTTTCACTTGATTCTTTAGCCTCGTCTGTTTTCCCAGAGCCGTTCGCCATCATCACTGTTGCATTAGTCAGCCAAGGTGGTGGAAACAAACTACCAAGTTTCAAAGCAGAGAAATCAAAAATTGAGTTGGAAAAACAACCGGGTTGAGAGATCTGTTTACACGAGGTTTTACTAGAACTAAGACATTGGTTTTCTACTTCTTCACTGACGTAAACAGGAACGGTAGGGGCCAGTGGTCTGCTTCTGAGTTCCCTAAGTAAAAGCAGCAAAGTAACGGCTATGAGCGTCGCAACAAGGAAGCAGAGGCTCAGAAGGACAACTACAGCTATCTGAAACCAGTCCCCAGCTCGCAAAGACCGGTCACTACCTAATCTGTCACACTGTGCACTGTGAGTGGGATTGTGAGGAGTGTATGTGGGGGAGTTGCTATGCTGAAAGACAAGTACACTCAGTTGAGACGCGGTTCGCGACGCATGCGGAGACAAGGCGCAAGGAGGCGGAGCTCTACTGGTGGGCTCTGGCTGGGAAAGACCAGCGGGCGCGGAACGAAACCTAGAAGAGGCATGCAGCAGTGACATGGCTGAGCAAGAGGACCGTAACATACTCGTCATAAAACCGTCATTAAGTTCATTCATAACATTAGAGATATATCTGCTGCATATGTTATAAATCAAATTGCTGTTTAAACGCTCGAAACTATAACTCACATTCCAAAACCACACTATAAAGTCATGTCCTTGTCTACCCCATACATCAAAATAATACATGCACGTTCCTACAATATTCATCAATGTTTTAACGCAGGACTGCAATAACTCCAGGAATATTAGCTCGAAAAGTCTTGTGCAATGTACAATTACAATTCTAATGTGTTCTATTGCGTGTAATGTACTTTTACAAATAGTTGTCCTTATCTCTTTGTACGACTGATAAGGGCCATTACAGCAATCATTTAAAGTGTCCAAACCATTTCTAGAGTAGTATATAGTGTTCGGTGTCTGTTCGATGTTTGTTGAGTTTCTGTTCTGTTTAGTGTTGCAGTTCCAATCTATTCCGCCATCTGAGATGTTGCTGCCAGGATCGTACGTTAGACTAAGTACAGGAGCGGTAGCAGTCGGGACTGTGCCAGGACCATAAGTTAGACCATAAGTTAGACCAAGGGGTGGATCAGGAGCGATCGAAACTGTGCCCTGGCTGGCCAGCATGGCCGCCAGGGCGATTGTTGAAAATATTGTTGCTGACGTGGCTTTTTCGAATCAACGCGCATTAAAATCAAACCAAATCAACGTGTACAAGTGTATGTCATATGATGATATCACATCCTCATGGGACACGAGCCGATCAAATAGAATAGTCAAAGAATATGTGAACTCTAACTAAGCACTGTAAATACATTATTTTTTGCCGCGAATTCGCCGCGATTTTTCGATTTTTTGCCGCGAATATGCCGCGATTTTCGAAATTCCCGCCGCGAATTAGCCGCGAATTAGCCTAGTTTGGCTTGTCGCGGTGCCGCGATTTTTGGCCAAAATAACCGCGAAATCCTTTTGTCCCTGTTAGTCAGCCACAACTGTCATTAAAACAACGCATTGACTTCAAATGTCGGTAAAATATACCTTTACAGTCATCCTCAATAAATAAAATAGATTTGTAGTGTTGTAATTAGTTTAAAAATTAGTTTAAAAATTAGTATATATATATATACTAATTTTTAAACTAATTTTTATATATAATATATATTATACAAAATGAATAACACAACAAAATTAACCACAGACTTACCTGATTCGCTGAGTAACCTGCGGTTTTGGCCTGCCGCGGATAACTCTGAGTCTGTGCGTACCTTTCTGTCGGGTTTTATAAGTTTCTCTGGTAACTACAGGATCTTCAATCAGCACCTCTGGATCCTGGAGGAAGAAATAGTTTTTATGGACACGTTCATTGAAGTTTGAGGATATTGGTAAATATTAGTGACCCTATTAAATGGCACGATGAGGTAAAATTTGTCACACTATGAAACTATATAAACCCTCAATATTGGCTAGGATAATCGTCTCATCCTCTAGCAAACTTTGTCACATAACGATATCTTCATCAGATGATAAGATATCTTTTAAATTCGGGTTAACGGGTGATACTCGTAAAATATCTGTTCCATATATTGGACCATATATTGGACCGTCGACGAGTCCAACTCGGCGCGCGTCCTGGTAGGTTGTAAACCTACAAAATTCGGCCGGCAGTGAGTTGTAAACTTTGTCACACTATAAAAACGTGACAGAGTTAACATGGCCCCTTGCTGCCGTGTTTGACCAAATTTTCGAATTACCAGTTCATAGGATAGTTGCATATGACTACATATTAGCGACTTTTTCGTTAAATGGTATCACCATGTAAATTCCGTCACACATTTAAGAAATTTATATGAGGGATGTTTATGACATCCTGACAAAAAATGCCGAATAGTCTAGCATTATTTTGCGAGCTGAATGTGTTAGGAATTGTTAACATATCTCATTGTTATAAGCAAATAAATTATTATACGGCAGTGATATTCAGCCCTATACTAATAGCATACGTTTGTTTAATTTGCTCTCTTATCTGCTTTCTTATCTCGCCTTGTTTAACGGTGAGATATTGTGCCTTTCACCTTGTGGCTTAGCCTTGCATCATGGCAGCTGTGGACGACACGGAGATCGACAGTATTATGTTTAAAGCTGAGGATTGGATGACAAGAGTTATGGATCAGTTCGGTTGTGAAGAACCAATTCACATAACTTCTGTATTGTGCAAACACTTTTTGACTAAAAGGACATTAAATCTAGAGGATAAGGAAAAGTTTGCAGCGTTTTTTTCGGAATCGTTTTATTTGGTTCGCTTCCAAAATGACAATTTGAAGAAGATGAAAAACAGATTGAGCTCAATCAAGGATCAGTTGATTGAGAATCAGAAATTGGTCATCAGCGCTCAGGAATCAATAATTGACTGCAAAGAAAAACAGTCGCAGAAACAGTTGCAGGCAGTGCAGACCGTCGTCAAAGACACGGTAGAAAGTCAGTTTAAATCGTACATATGTTAAAATTGGCAAAATTCGAACACCTGAACATGGTAAAAATATGTAAATTTCGTCAAAAAAAATTATAACTTTATTTGCTTTTTGTTGGAAAAATAACTAGTTTATCGACATATGTATGGTGATAAAGTAATATTATATTCTAATATGAGGTATGATTCTTCAAAATAGGGGCGACAAATGTAAATTTCGTCACATCAGTTAGTTACTAGTTAGATAGATTTTCTTTCACATCAACAGTCCTTATTATAGTTGGAATGGATTTACACAGGAAATTTAGAAACCCATGCTAATTTTTATCACATTGAAATTACACTGTTAGGAAAAGTGAATTTGTCACATTTCGGTAACTTAGTAAAATTAAACTCAGCATTGTTAAACTTGAGTTCTGATTTGCTGAACAATAACCAACCAATAATTCCTGGAAGAATATTGAATTCTAATCGAGGTATGGTTCTTCAAAATAGGGTCAAGAAATATAAATTTCGTCACATACGTTATAGATGTGGATACTGGCGGGGAGGTGATAATTGTTTGTTTATATTAATAGTGAGCACATGTTAAGCAGGCTGAGGAGGTGATAATTGTTTGTTTACATTTTAGGTCGAGCACATGTTAAGCAGGCTGAGGAGGTGATACATATTTTGTATTATAGAAGGTTTGTAACACTTGTAACGCCTTCTTGTTACCCCCCTTTGAGGACCCCGAATTATTTTCTGAACGAAAGCTCAAAAATAACCGAGAAATCGACCTTCTTATTAACTCATTTTGATGACTGTTTCTGACCTAAAATTGCACGAAAAATCGATTTAGCTAGGTTTCAGAACCTATAAACACTTCCTTATCCCTCAAAATTGATGTTTTATAGTTAATACGACTAACAAGCAACATATATTTTGATCCTTCGGTTCTACTCATGACCTAGACAGTTAAGCTGAACCCGACAGATTGAGGCAATCCTCACCTTAACTGATCAAACTGGTACTAACACAATTTTCAGATATAAATGTTCTTTGCGATACGTTTATTGCAGCTTTGCAACTTGAGTGAAGACCAGAGTACGAAAACACACAGCAGGTAAGCAACTCACTTTTGGTGACTGTTCCTCACGAACATTCTGATCCTGTAACATATGAACAGGGAGATCGTCTCCTTAACAAATCGAACAGGTACTATCACAATTTCCAGAGCACAGCATGATAACAAAGTCAAAAGAAACACAATGAAGGTAGGTTACCAACACCACAATATAACAATCATACTGACAACTGAATTAAATGTATTCTGACGACGGGCAGCCCTGATGTGCTCCGTGGTCCTCAACGAGCGACCACTTGTAATAGAGGTGTTATGTCATGTGACACCGATCCGTCCAATCACAAACAGGAAAAGTGAGCAGATCGATATCGTGTGTTTACTTTCCTTATCTTTATTTGACCCTCTGTTCACATTGTTATCTCTACCACATCTTGACTCGGCAAGGTCCGCGTGCAATATCTGCACCGCGGTAAACACGCCATGATTACGTCATGAACTTGAAATAGTGTGATTGTTGTACACTTATATAACCGTGCCCATCGCCCACGTACATTACAAACTGTTGGGGGGGCCGGGGGTGGGGGATGGGGTTTAAGATAAACAACCGATCTTGATAGTGTGTTGGTCGCTCCTCCAAGTCCAACTGACTGTGATGCTTATCGTCCAGTCAGGAACAGAATAATAACATAATTTTTTAGTTATAGTATGTCTCGGCTGAACTGCGGAGATAAGTACAGTTTGCTGTAATATGTACAGTTTGCTGTAATATGTGGTCGCGATTATCAACTCAGTGGAATTCCAAATGATGAACTGTGCTTTAAGTTTACACCAACTGGAACCAAAGGAATATACCCATGAGTGCTCCCTAACTTAACTTGGACGGTAAGTGTTTGACAATAAAAACTAGGACACGAATTCTCTGACAAGAAATGTTAGCAGGTTTAAATAAAATATACCTGCAATTAGCAGGTTTAAATAAAATATACCTGCAATTAGCAGGTTTAAATAAAATATACCTGCAATTAGCAGGTTTAAATAAAATATACCTCCAACTGACTGTGGTGCTTATCGTCCAGTCAGGAACAGAATAATAACATAATTTTTTATTTATTCAAGTAGCCCTGGTCATTTAAAAAAAATCGTTGTCGACCTCCCTTAAAAAAACAGGGTTCAAATTGACCAGTTGGGCGCACACGAATGCGATGTCGCTCAGATAAGGCAACATCTTCGCCACAACTTTGTTTCCCAAAATCTTGTACCGCTTCAGATAGCCAATAGAGCGTTCCACGTGGATGCGGGCGATGCTGACTTTCCTACTGGCTGCTACTTCTTCCGGCGTGAACTGAGTCTTGCCCCACATCCCCGCTGGGATGTTTAGTGTAACTCCTGAAATTTAATTGCTTTTTATTCCGCTTATTCTTAACTAACCGGACGATGATTAAGGCCAGAGGGGGGGGGTAAGGGGTCAAAAAATTCTACCAAAATATTATTTTCTAAATCGATTTAATTTTTAATGACAAAAACATTGCCGCTATTCACATATTTGTAGCTGATTAACTTTATTTTATAATTGAGGTTAACCGATTTTCACAAAATTGACTATACAATATTGAGGTTAATAAAATTGAGGTTAATATTTTATTACACGCCATAATTTTTTGTTATTTCGGTCAGCAAATGTAAACTCTAAATTTTAGGTTCATAATTGTCAGAAAAAGTAATATCCAAACGTGATTAAATGAGGTTAACCTCGTCTTTTAGATATAGCGAGAATAGATCAAATGATAGAGTTATTATTTTCATCGTAAGTTTACGGTATACACATTTCTAAATAGATGACGTGTTGATTGACTTTCTTTTATCTTGGGAAAATGAAAAAAATGAGGTTAACCAACACATTTTGGTACCGTAGGGAATATACATACGGTTCTTACTTATGTAATGTACCACAATATCGAAGTGAGGTATCTATTGGTATCACAATGCCTACAACTATAATCACGTGACAAAGGTGATTCGAACTGACCATATTTTAGTAGAAGATTTTACCCGTAAATGGCTAAAAAATGAGGTTAACCTCTCATTTTTTGAATACCTGACTAGTCAATTACATGTTAACCTCAAAAACTTAATCGTTATACTGTGCAAATGTTTTACTACATATATAATAACATTGATAAACCAATCCCAGTGTTATATGGTCTAAAGCGAGGTTAACAACCAAATTTTAAGCAGTTAGTGTTTACAGGAAGTCTTGGTTAACCTCATTTTTTACAATACAAGGACATTAACTACTGAAAGTAGCTAAAATCATTTAGGGGACGGCCAGGTCTGATCAAGCAAACGTTATTAAGTGTATAAAAAGTCCTAACTAACGAACTGTGAAACATTCCAGTGAATATTCAAAATTTTGAAAACACTAAATTGCATCTATCTCAAAACACATTTTTTGACCTTTCGATTCCTTAGTTGAGAAAACCGGCCACTCCCTGATCTTGAGGTTTGGTACAGTGGTTCCTTAGACAATTATCCTCATTTATTATGTGACCGATTTTTTTTATTTGACTCGGTTCTCGAATTATGAGGTTAACCAGCTAAATTTTCCGAATTTTTGACATGGTTAACCTCATAATTCAAGAACCGAGTCAAATAACAAAAATCGCTCACATAATAAATGAGGATAATTGTCTAAGGAACCACTGTACCAAACCTCAAGATCAGGGATTGGCCGGTTTTCTAAACTAAGGAATCGAAAGGTCAAAAAAGTTACAGCCGTTTAAAGATCCAGTTCAACATGTAATTACAGGTAAACCTCAAAATTTAGCGCGCGATATCTCAGGAACGCAAGGTCAGATTTTGATCTGGTTTTTTTCTTCTTGTTCGTCTCCAGCAGCTATTATCAAATATGTGAAAACTAGAAAAGTGCCATTTACCCCCCCCCCCCCTCTGGCCTTAATCACTCTACACACAACTAGACTGTTAAGTGACGTTTCAACACGTTTTCTAGCTGGCTCTGAAACCTTAACCACCCAGGGCAAGTGCAGCATTTTAAAGTTACACAAACTCTTATTACAATTGTGAGAAGGACTCCAAGTTTACATATTTAAAACGGCAATGACTAATTACAAAGCACAAATTGAAATTTTTAGTGTCTAACCTGGCAAAAATGAACTGCACCATGTTGAAATAGTACTTCAACTCTGTCAGGTATAACCATGCTTGTCCTCCTGTATACTGCCTCCTCCTGGAACATACAGTTCTTGTCAGTGAAGTCGTGTCCTAGATTCTGTTTCCAAACACTTACTGTCTAAAGGTCTAAGTTAAGCAAAGGAGCACTCATGGATATATGCATTATTCCTTTGCTTCCAGTTGGTGTAAACTTAAAGCACAGTTCATCATTTGGAATCTCACTCAGTTCATAATCGCGACCTCATATTAGAGTAAATGTTTTTAATAATACTAATCTCCGCAATTGAACAATGAAACCGAAACATGCTATAACTAAAGAATGTTAATGTTCCGTTCATGACTGGACGGTTAGCATCACAGTCAGTTGGAGGAGCGACCAACACACTATCAAGATCGGTTGTTTATCTTAAACCCCATCCCCCCCCCCCGGCCCCCCCAACAGTTTGTAATGTACGTGGGCGATGGGCACGGTTATTATATAAGTGTACAACAATCACACTATTTCAAGTTCATGACGTAATCATGGCGTGTTTACCGCGGTGCAGATATTGCACGCGGACCTTGCCGAGTCAAGATGTGGTAGAGATAACAATGTGAACAGAGGGTCAAATAAAGATAAGGAAAGTAAACACACGATATCGATCTGCTCACTTTTCCTGTTTGTGATTGGACGGATCGGTGTCACATGACATAACACCTCTATTACAAGTGGTCGCTCGTTGAGGACCACGGAGCACATCAGGGCTGCCCGTCGTCAGAATACATTTAATTCAGTTGTCAGTATGATTGTTATATTGTGGTGTTGGTAACCTACCTTCATTGTGTTTCTTTTGACTTTGTTATCATGCTGTGCTCTGGAAATTGTGATAGTACCTGTTCGATTTGTTAAGGAGACGATCTCCCTGTTCATATGTTACAGGATCAGAATGTTCGTGAGGAACAGTCACCAAAAGTGAGTTGCTTACCTGCTGTGTGTTTTCGTACTCTGGTCTTCACTCAAGTTGCAAAGCTGCAATAAACGTATCGCAAAGAACATTTATATCTGAAAATTGTGTTAGTACCAGTTTGATCAGTTAAGGTGAGGATTGCCTCAATCTGTCGGGTTCAGCTTAACTGTCTAGGTCATGAGTAGAACCGAAGGATCAAAATATATGTTGCTTGTTGGTCGTATTAACTATAAAACATCAATTTTGAGGGATAAGGAAGTGTTTATAGGTTCTGAAACCTAGCTAAATCGATTTTTCGTGCAATTTTAGGTCAGAAACAGTCATCAAAATGAGTTAATAAGAAGGTCGATTTCTCGGTTATTTTTGAGCTTTCGTTCAGAAAATAATTCGGGGTCCTCAAAGGGGGGTAACAAGAAGGCGTTACAAGTGTTACAAACCTTCTATAATACAAAATATGTATCACCTCCTCAGCCTGCTTAACATGTGCTCGACCTAAAATGTAAACAAACAATTATCACCTCCTCAGCCTGCTTAACATGTGCTCACTATTAATGTAAACAAACAATTATCACCTCCCCGCCAGTATCCACATCTATTAATTAACTATTTATTTTGTGGTGAATCGACAATTCACCACACTTTTTATAATTATTAAACGATCACCAAACATTTCTTTTGATTACGGAGGGGAGGGGGGGGGGGGGGGCGGAGCGGGGTAACAATTTCCAAAAAGTGATTACGTAATTTGTGAACGACCGCTTTTAAAGTGATGACTCTGAACAGTTCTACGATTAACGATGATAAATATAGACTTTCGCAAACCTGATAGCTCTACCCTAAATTATAATTAATCCGTTACCATGACAACAGAATAAGAATTGCTACCTCTTCACAAACCTGTTCCGGTGCTGATATATTTCCCCAAGACGCTACCCCGTTCGGTGTTATTATACTAGGTGTAATCAGGCTTATAGACGTCTGCATACGTAACAAATTTGATACTTCTGAAAAAGTGATTCGTTCAATCGAAAGCACATGACGTTACATGTTGGCAAGTCGCCAGCGTTGAGAGTAGAATAGAGTCGCTATTTCAGAGTCAAACGATCTATCGAGTGAGACAAAATAATATCATAAATAATATTAGTGTAACCCGTGCCTACAGCCGGGACTTCACTATCGAAGTTGAAATGCAAAAGTATAAACCCGCCTATTATATTCGAAAACACGCATTGCATTGTCGATTGAATGTATGAACTCTCTCTATAATAGTCCAAACAGACTGCAATGAGCCCCCCCCCCCCCCCCCCCCCCCCCCCAATAACAGTGAATCTTACCGCTGATACGTTGCCAAATAACCTAATTATGATTTATGTACCAACGCTGCATATGGCAGAGAGAGCGAGAAAAAGTGAGCCATTTCATGTCACATTTGTGGTACAAAACCATCAATTAAACCACTTATAAACTCATATGTTTTACCGTTTTCTTGATTAAGCCGCTCGGAAATTACACGCGCACAGACAAACACGCATTTTGAGATTATTAGTATAGATAATATACATCATATAATATATGCTGCGCGCGTCCCTCGCGCGAACTGATCAACCATTTATTTACAAGTAATAGAGTCGTAGACCCTTTTATGTTACTTCAAGCGACTTGAAATTAGTCTAGTTCTGATGCCCAATTGCAACAAGACTGTTAAATATCACGTACTGTGTAATGTGAACGAACACTGAAAATAAGCATTTTAAAACAAACATAAAACAAAATAGCCTACCCGGTGAGATTGTTCTACTGTGGCGTTGGGAGGGAGGATGTTTGGGTATTTTATATCTGACAGTCATTGGGATTTGAGATTTCCAGGGTAAGAGGGCGCTGCTCTCCGTGTTAGTTTCCAGTTGAGGTATAGTTAATACCCAGGGTCCTCGACCTGCACAAAGTTCATAGTAAATTATATCGAATAATTTTTTGTTCTAACGTCTGATAAAATTAATTCTACTGGAAACCTGAGATCTCTAAATAGCTCTCTAAATAGCTCTCTATTTTAAACCATGTCACTTTATGAGGTCCCGACAATTGTAAACTAAAACCCATAAACATTAGAATTGTGAAGATTAGAAAACACCAAGTTGTGATCTGTACGTATCAGAATGACAGTACAGATGGCATCTTGCACGTGAGATAAACTGAATTCAATCAACACAAGTGCCTGGAATGTTTCAAATAACTCGTGTCTGGTTTGTCTGGCCCATGTCCAGGAAACTGACATTTTGCAAATTGTTGAATTTTTTCAGCAGTTTTATTTTTAAATAGCGTCACTCTATTTAACCATGTCACTTTATGAGATCAGAACTTCAACACACTATGAACTCCAAAGGTTGTATAATGTGTTAACATGGACACCAGATTGAAGAGTTTAAATACCTGATTCTAAAGAATTCTAACTTTAGTCTACTTTACTCTACTTTACTCTACTTAACTCTACTTTACTCTACTTTACTCTACTTTACTCTACTTTACTCTACTTTACTCTACTTCAAAGTATTTCTGTAATATACGAGATTGATCCGTAACACAGTACAATATATCAAATTCTTGGCAATGAAATATTGTGAAAATACGTTCCTTTGACATCTGATCACGAAAAATACTATAAATCAATTTTCTAAATTATTTACTGAATTATTTAGTTATTTGATTTTTTCTAATAATAATGCTAATATTTATATTATTCAGACCGCCAAGACAAAAGCAGCAAAGTATCTGGAAGCTGGCAACATTATGGGCTACAAAGGAGCAAAGATGTCAAGTACACTACTTCAGGAACTAACTAAGATGCACGGCCTTGCTAAACCTCCAGGACCACCAAAATAATAAACAAATTATAGAATAAATAATACGATAACACACTTAAAATTTTTTCAGGAATATGTCTCTTTAAAATGTAGTTAAATTATCCTCATTTTATTTTGTATAATTACCCAATAAAGCGAATGTAACAGTAATATAAGATTTTCAAGTTCCAACCTTAGAGACAATTCAAAGTAGCAGCTCAACAAGTATAGTAGTTTTTAAATTAATTATAAGATTAATTACATTGATTAATTGAATTCTCACCTTTGTACGGGACACCAGGACCTGTTATAGAGTCAAATGTAGAGAGTTTTGATACAGTCCTCAACAGCGGACTTGGAACTAATATTCTTGATAGCATACTGATAGGTTATTTAAGGCTATGAGTGAACACTTGTAAGATAAATTTAAACCGGATGTCTATACTTCTTAATAATTTGTCTTTATTCGTAAGATAATATTTGATAAATTAAGTTATTTCAGTAGTATATAGATTATAGAAAAGCTGTAATTTCTTGGAACACGAAAAGAAAACAAACTGACAGTAGAACATTTTTGAAATATAGTCTAGAAATAGAGAGATGATCCTTGATTCCTGATAAAAAGGAAATATTCTACTGTAATCTGAACAACTCCAACGCACACTTATCTGAAATTTTCTTTAACATTAATTTACATCATATCCATGATATCTATGTACACCATTTACACAAGTCAAACCAAAAGTATGATAATATGACTTCACATTGATTTTTGATTGTGCGATTATAATTAGCATGCACATTATAATCGCACATTTGTTACCTACGTCAGATTTTGATCTTTTCAGACCCCTCCCCTCCGTTCAAGCCACTTAAATTAAAGCTATTGTATAAAAGTTACATAAGCTTTTATAAACCCCCTTCCTTATTAAGCTAGGTAATATTTTAAAATTTCCTAATTAGGAAAAGCTGTAAGGTTACATGATTACACTTTGGTCTTAACTTAACATTAAATATAAACTACTGAGATTGATTATACTTAATTTATAACTGACTAAGGTTTTAAAAATCAAATTTCGTTACAATATATTCTGAACACTGAAAGTCTGTAATATTGATATAAAGCACATCATCATTAAACCTGGAACGCTATTTCTTCAACTACAAAGAATAGAAGTTATCAGTATGGAGGCAAATCAACCGATCAATTAAATTAGAAACTTCACCTCCTTCTATGATTAAAGTTAAAGTGAAATCAATCAGTTCATCATAATATATTTTTTATTTGTAACAATAGGGTACAGTCTCATTTTTCTTCACTGCACCCCATTACTGCACGATTGTTATTTTAAGTACTTAGAAGCTTATCCTTTACAAGTGGTGTCCTTCTATAACACCCCTGTTTCGAAATTTCATATAGGTATCCTCGCGCGATCCTCGTGGGATCCTCGCGATGATACTAGGGGGTGCACGATAAAAATAAACTTGCTCGGATTTTAAAAATTTGTGTACCACTGTTTTCTAGAGACTGTGAGAATTTTCACAATACCAAATTTGTCATACCTTTTTGGAAAGATCAGTGATTTATTCGAATTTCATCATCGTGCGATGAGGAGAAAACCCTCGCGATACCCTCACGAGGATGGAAATGTCCAATAATTTCATCGCGAGGAAATCATCCTCGTGGGAAATTGTGCACGATGATGATTTACCCTCGCGAGGATGGGTATTTGCGCGAGGATTTGGAGGCAATATTCGACGAATTTATGGAAATCGTATCCTCGTGCCCATCCTCGTTCATCGTTCATTGGGCATGGAACAGGGGTGTAACGCGGTATAACACTCAAACAAGTATCTTATCAATAAGGTATCTAACTAGGCATCAGGATGAGGATCCGCTGTTTCCAAGTTTAAGCTGATTTGCAAGGCATCAGGATGAGGATCCACTGTTTCCAAGTTTGAGCTGATTTGCAAGGCCTTGTGCTATCACACCATCCAATATGTAATCTTCATTAGGCACAAGAGACTTGCAGAGAACTGATGCCAGTATGATATTGTCAAGGTCAAAAGGCGGTTTACCCTTCTTTGGCATTATCTCTTCTTCTACATGAGGAAATTGTTCCTTCATCATTTCACACACGAGCACTGACGTTGTCTCATAAACCATCTGATTGAAGACCCGCTCACACTGAAACTCCACAATATACTCTCTTAAAAACTCCTGAACAACCTCCCTTATCTGGATTGCAACCAGCTCATCAACAAGATATAACATCATGTCAGTATCCTCACTATCTGCCCTCTTCCCAGAATATACAGTCAGAATTTCAGAAAGGACGGAGTGTGCAGTTGTTCTGAGCATATCATAAACACACTCTTCTAAAATCTGATCAGAGTATTCGGAAACAACTCGTTCTGTTACACTTGGTAGCTTGACATCTTTGACTCCATACAAGAGTACTTCAACTAAGATGTCAGGCAACAGCTCTTCAACCAGCAGATCATCAATCAACTTATCTATAAAATCTGAGTAAAAGGTTTCCCTGATGGCCCCTGACTTTACCCTGTCTTTGTACCCCCTGTAACTACGCTGTATCACTTCTGCAGCTCTGTTTCTATCCATACTATGTATTGGAGGGATAACAGAAAATTTCTCAGAGTCGCGAAAAGAACGCTTGGATAAAGTTTCCAAAAGATCACTGTCACTGTAAGGTCTTGAAGGAGTAGGTGAATATTTGCAATCTCTCTGGAAATCTCTTTGATTCATAGGTTCAGCACGCTGCACGTTATATTGAGTAGGGTAAGGATGATGTTGTAAATTGTTGTGATGATAGCCTTGCATCAATTGTGGAGGAACGTGCTGAGGATAAAAGTATGGCATACTTGGGACAAGTGGCATACTTGAGTTCATGTATTGGCTCGGTAAACCGGGAACAGATAGATGAGAGGGCATGTTAGGATAATTTTGAATGAATGGATTGCACTGATAAAATGGATTATATGCTTGAGACCAGGCAGGCACTGACTCATGTGGGATAAGTGCATTATGTCTTGTATGATGGGGCTCTCGGCGCTTAGATACTCTATAATTCTGATTTGGCAGTTTCTTTTTCTTTTTTTGGTAATCATCACCTGCATCTGTTTCGTCTGAATTGTTAAGCTCTGAAATACTTCCTTGACTGTAACCCCTACGTCGTGGCCTGAAGTTTGGTTTACCTGGTGATTGGTCCCATTGTTTCAAGCCATTATTTGATTTGTGAGGAATATTTGAGTTTTTTACCCTCGTATTACTGTACTTATCAATCAATGTTGCCTTTTCTTTTGCTCGTTTGTAAGACTTGATAGCTTCTTCCAAAGTTGGAGGAGCATAACCATAACCTTGACTCATTATTTTACATCCTGAATAATTGAATATTTAATGCTTTTGAACACAAAGGGAATTGAATATTTAGCTTTAAAACTTGTCTGATACATTTATCATGGAACTTTGCAAAATATACTCCCTATGGGAGTATCATTATTAAGTCTGCAATAGCTATTTATTTAAGTTCCCGAAAGCCTCTCCCTCTCCTCCCTCTCTCCCACCCTCCCCCCTCCCCATCCCTCCCCCCTCCCTCCTCCCTCCCTCCCTCCCTCCTCCCTCCCTCCCTCCCTCCCTGCTAGCTGCATGTCAGGACTCCCAAAGCATATATTACAAAATCATAAAATAATATTAATGTCAATGCAACAGACCCCTGGAGTCAGCAGCCCTACACCATATAATATCCAGGTAATCAAATTGAGGGAGCATAAGAGCATTTTTATTTTATCTTTATTTTTAAGTAAAACAAAATTTAAATTTATGAAAGTTATTCTAAAAATATTTCATTGACTGACTTGTATTCTAAACGTATAAATTTCATAAATCGATAGTCCATAATGCCTTGTTTCACGTTGTAGCCCTGCCGTGCAGGGCTAAATTTTTCTATATTTCAGTGGAAGGAGATTTTTAGACCTATATAATGCTCCTGTTCTTCTAGCAACTTAGTTACCTAGAATACCTAGTGAGTTGTCAGTTGAGTTGGTCTGAGATGTTCTGAACAAACCTGGAGTTAAATCTGGTGCTGTTAAGCGCTTTAAATGCAGCCTGGGAATCCGAGAGGAATTAATGATTGATGGGGATCCTAAGTTACCATTAGACCAGATACTTGCCATGTGTAACACAAATAGCGAGTACGATTTCCTTACAGTAATGAACCTGAAGGAGGATTGTCTGTCCTGTATTGCTACCATGTAACGTCGAGCTAACAAATCGAATCCAAATTTTTAGTAATGCATTCGTTAAAAGTTAATGTATGTCCTATTTGCAATTTGCATCCTGAAGAGTTCCCATTGCATTCAGTTAAACAAAAAATTTCAGTTAAACAAAAATTTCAATTTTATGCTATTTATTACAGAGTAAACAAGTTTACAATAAATCAATTTGATATTTAAAGGAATCCTAATTCAATGTGTAGTATGGTTGTCACTCACTGCTTAAATGTAAGCAGTGATTAATTGAGATGAATTTAGGGTAATATTGTGTAATATGTAGATAGTGTAATGATTATAATAAGGCGGTCGTGGGGTCCAGTATGTGACGTAGTATTTTGGGCATATATTAGTAGACGACAGTTATTGCAGTTTAAGTGCAGAGAGGTCAGTTTAACATATGTTGGGTCAGTACGAGGTTGAATTATGGAGTGTTTACAGAATACTAGTGTTACAATGTTGTGGCTATCGACAGGACAGTTTGAGATTCCTGGGAAATGGTAGGGTTAGCCTTTTGAGGATAGAGGAGTGCCAGTTTACCCGATCGAGAGGGGGGTCATGTTGATACCGGGCAGGTTCTGTAGCTAGAACCTGTTAAGGTTAGGTCGTTCAGTTAGGTAGATGGTTATAGTGGTCAGTATAATACTGGCGGTCATCTAATAGTAGAGCATTACGTAGTTACTATTATCAGGATAGAGGCATTTGCAGTCAGGCTGACTTAGACAGATAAAGCTAGACTAAGAGTAAGAGCCCGGGAGGAATAGTCAGCAATGGTTGACTCAGATAGGTAAAGCTAGATTAAGAATAAGAGCCCGGGAGGAATAGTCAGCACTGGTTGACTTAGACAGATAAAGCTAGACTAAGAGTAAGAGCCCGGGAGGAATAGTCAGCAATGGTTGACTTAGACAGATAAAGCTAGATCAAGACTAAGAACCCGGGAGGAATAGTCAGCACTGGTTGACTTAGACAGATAAAGCTAGACTAAGAGTAAGAGCCCGGGAGGAATAGTCAGCAATGGTTGACTCAGATAGGTAAAGCTAGAAATTAAGAATAAGAGCCCGGGAGGAATAGTCAGCACTGGTTGACT